CCCCCCCACCCCCAAACTAAAATTTTATTGCAGATTCGGGGTCCCCTCGCCGAGCACAGCACGACCCCGCCCTCAAAAAATATATATATATATATATATATATATATATTTCTGGGCTGTTTTTTGGCCCGCCCGGTTTGCCCGGGCGACCTGCCCGGGCCCCGCCCGGCCGGCCGGGCGGCGTCCGTACTCAGCTATTAAGAGTCCAACCCATAGTTGCAGCGCACCAGAGCGCAGTGCAGTACGGGGCGGTGCACACTACACTGTGCGCTTGACTGAGCACAAGCACTGTGCACTTCTCACAGTGCGTTCCGCTGAGGGAGGTGCACCCTGTGCACAAAAAAAAAAAAAAAAAAAAAAAAAAAAAACAAGAGATAGAGAGAGAGAGAGAGAGAGAGAGAGACAACGAAGGGTCCCCTTCACGTCAATTCAAGGGTCCCTGCAGGTACCTCAAATGGCTGCTACAATACATGTGGACATTGTGGAGCCATTGAGGGCCACTAGTTTAATGAGAAGGACAGCCTCATCATGCGTGGAAGAGATGAGGGCAGACCACCAATATATGCTGTGGATTGGAGTTCAGGGCTGTAGCCCCACAGTTATGGGTCACCAATTCAGCTAGACCCTGTTGGTGTCTCCATGTGATTCTCAGGGCCTCCCTCCACCACTCACCAAATGCATATAATATTAGTAGAACGAATCTTCTGCTTAAAACACGGAACAATACACCGCCATATGCTATGTCTTTGTGCATTTGGTGAGTAGTGGAGCAGGCCCCACTGGACGTATTCGTAAGAAAACAAAAACAAAAAGCCACGGGCATCTTCATCCTAACCCATAACTGCCGACATGCAGACCTGAACGCCAATTTTCAGCATATATTGGTGGTCGGCTGGCCATGGAAATTGCAATTTGTGACATCTGTGTAACTTTGCGGGGTAGGTCGTTATTAGGCGATTACCCCTTCTTGCGAACTTCCCCCACCACTATGTGGGATTTGCAGAAGGGAGCGGGAAGGACAGCTTCCATACCCCACCTAAAAAGAAAGTTGGAATGAGCCCTATTTTATGCTTCGCCATTCTGAAACTTTTGGGGGAAGTCGGCAGCCCTTACCTAAAGAAAAATTTGGGCCAGGGGCCCAGCTGGTTTTTGAGCTTGTGTGGTGAGTTTAACATTTTTAATGCGTTGGGGGCCCTAAGAAATTACAAAACCCCTACCTTTGTTTTTTCTTTTTTGGACCTAATTTTTCCAGTGTGCTGCGCTTGCGCGGTGCGCAATTCGTGCGCAAATCCGCGCACCGAGGTGTGCCGCAACTATGGTCCAACCTCAAGAAAAGAAAGAGAAAAAGCCATAGTCCAAAATCCCCAATCATCGGAAGCTATAGCCAAACCCTGCGAAACCGCCCTGCCACGTGCACGGCAGGGGACAGTCCGCAGACCACAGTGCAGACACAGACCCTGCAAAAACCCACCCACCTCCTATCACACCACCAAAAAAGCCCCCTCTCTCTCCATTACCAAAAACAGCAGCTCCCACCGCGATGCTGTTTTTGCAAATCTGTAGAAATAGTAAAATACCCTACCACCTGCACAGCAGGGGCCTAAGGCCCCGCAGAACCCACCCACCTCCTCGTGATTTAGGGTATTTACTATATAATATATACTATATACTATGAGCTGTTGAATTATTCTTCCTATTTTTCTTTTTTCCAAATCCTCGGACCACACATTCGCAATTTTGCACCTTTACTTTGAAAACAAAACCCTGTTGTATTTTTTATTTTAATTTCTTTTTTTTTTATTGCTTTGCAATTTTTTTGTCCCACGGCCCTCTCCATAAATGTGTTCCCTTGGTTCACCCGAGGCCACGTGGGCCCACTGAGCTCCTTTTTTCCTTTCTTTTCCCAACAACAACTAGAGCCCGCCCACAACAGTTCGGCATACGAACCCATAACTGTTGTAGGTGGCAGGTGTCCATTGCTCTGATCTTATTTGTACGAAAGTGTCGGAGTCTCAGAGAACGTGCATGTTTCTTTTTTTTTTTTTTCCAATAAAACCAGAACGGTTACCTCATTACTAGGGCAGATGCTGCAAGCAACCTCTTTTTTTTTTTTTTTTTGCGAGCAACCTCGCTCGTACACATTATTCTGATATTCCCGACATATGCCAAAGGCTCAGTTGCAAGGCCACTGACAAGTTCTTCGAGCTCGGTGGATGGATAGGAAGGTGGGAGGCCGTGAGCCTGGTACAAGGAGTGGGAGGCCGCGAGCCTGATACAAGGAATGCCCTCTTCTGAGGATGACCTGTGCATCGCAGAACGTGCACATTAGTCTGCTGCTCCCCACGAATAGATCGGAGCATTGTTCCCTTAAAAAAAAAAAAAAAAAAAGTCTGAATCAGAAAAAAATAAATAAATTGAAAACATGGTTGGACTTCGCTCGCCGAGATCTCCCCGAATCCGCAAAGAAAACTTTGAACAGAGAAGTTTCGTTTGGGGGGTTGGGGGGGGGCGGGGGTGGGGCGAGGGGGGGGTAATTTCAGGGGTTGAGGGTCAGGGGTTGGGGGGTTTATGGTGAGGGTGTTGGTGGAGGGGTCTCAGCAGCCACAGGCTTCAGCAGACATTGACAACAACGTACCTGGCTTTCTGCAAACGTTAACCTTCCACCCAAAAACTTTGAAAAGGGGGCTGGAGGTGTTACTGGCAGGGTAGGGACGGGTACTTCCCACCCAAAAACTTTGAAAAGGGGGGTGGGGGTGATAGTGTTAGGGGGTGCTTGTCACTGCTGTCTGGTCCATGTTGCCCTCGATACTGGTAGGGTGATGGTCCTGAGTGCTGGTCACACTGAGGTAGGATAGTAGGGATAGGGGGTACGCTGGGAGCATTAACATGGGAAAGGGTAGGGAGGGTGGCCTATCCTGTCAGCACAACCACCGACTGCTGCTGCCAGCAATCACCGGGGATATAGTCCCTGGCCTCTACAACACCCTGGGCCTTCAAAAAAAAAACAAAAAACAAAAAAAAAAACGCGCTAGAGCCAACCTGGGGGGAACCGGCCCGGTCGACCGGCCGGTAGGACAGGTCCGGTTCCGGTTGGGGGAGGGCCCTCCGGTCCGGGTTTGCAGCCTTGGTCTGAATATGCAGAGATTCACGAGTGTGTAATGAAATTCTTTACAAAGATTATATTATGAGTCTGAAAAGTCTGAATCAAAAAAAAAAAAAAAAGAATGAATACGCAGAACAAGAGCCCAGTACAAGAAATGCCCTAACTGTTGCTTGCCTTCCGACTCTATTCGACGTATTTGTTTGTTTTGCCGTACTCTTGTTCTGTATTCATTGAATGCTATTTAGTATTTATATATCTCCAATCTCTTTTTTTTTTCTCTTTTTATTTATTATTAATATTTTGTAACAAGCAAGCATCAATTGAAATCACTCACCCTTTCTAAGGCTGAACGGACAAGGAAATTGTCCTGTGAATACGCCCAGAACATTTCATCCATCACGACACCTGTCATTTCATGTCACGCCAGTTTTCCACACATAAGCTCTTAAAACAAAACAAAAGAGAAAAGGCAAAAAAAAAGCTCGTCTCATACCACCAATGCGCGTATTATGAGCAAGACACAATGCCCATGCGGAAGCTATGACTCTGTTGTTGCCATGCATGGATGTGCAGCGATGCGCATCTTTTCCATTTCATTTCAATTCAATTCTTCTTCTTCTTCTTCTTCTTCTTCTTCTTCTTCTTCTTCTTCCTCTTCCTCCTCTTCCTCTTCCTCCTCTTCCCCCTCCTCTTTTTCTTCCTCTTTTTCTTCCTCTTCTTCTTCCTCTTCCTCTTCTTCTTCTTCTTCGTCTTCTTCTTCTTCTTTTTTGTATTTGCCGGGACCTTCGCAGGCCCTTGCCAGGCAGAGCCCGGGCAACCAAGTGATCTGAGCGACCCTCTTCGCAGCCCAGTGGCCCTTGCCAGGCAGAGCCCGGGCAACCAAGTGATCTGAGCGGCCCTCTTCGTAGCCCAGTTAAAAATCTTTTTAAAAAAACTGTGTTATGCAGAAAAATAAGACAAACTACTTTTGACTCCGGGTCTAATAGGAATTCTTCACCAACTTTGCATTGCAAAGACCACTTCGTAGTTGATGTCTTGTCATTGTTGTAGAATCAATGTAGATCATTGTTGTAGAATCATATAATGTAGATACAGTACTAGACATTGCCCTCATATGAGTGATCCTAGTTGTCTCCGATGTTCACTTTGTAATCTCAGTCGCTGTAGAATTAGCTGCATGTAAATATTGGATGTGGATAGGGAAAAAAAAAAAAAAAAAAAAAAAAAAGGCAATGTTTAGAAAACTTTTGAAAACTTTTTTTGGTCCTTTTCGAAACTACTGGGGTCTATGAGAGAGAGGGGCTGAGACAGGCGCCTTCATTGTGGGAGGACTGTAGTTGGCCCAAGCGGCCCGGTTGGTAGCCGAGCCCATGAATACATAAGAACTTAAGTACAGGCTTGTCAGACCACCTATTGCCTATGCCAACGGCCGGCAGTTTTCTTGCCTACCGGTTGGGCCAACCCGTAGGCGGTCTGCCGATCAGTCACTAGAGGGCAATCCACTGATTTTTCTTTTTAATCCGAGTTTGGGGCTGTGCTGTACTTCCTGAGTACACTAGAGGGGCATCCACTGAGAATCTGAGTTTGGGGCTGTACTTTGCTTGCTGAGTACAGCCCAAATCCGCTGAGAAACT